GGGGGGGGGGCGGCATATAAAATCAGGTGTGGAACGTAACTTGCCCCAGGCACAGCTAACCTGAACAAAAAAAGACAAAAATAAGGTAAAGATAAACCAAAAGCAGCTTGTTTTCGTTAATAATAAAATTCACTAAACCTGTCCCAAGCATGCTGAGTTCTAGCTGTCAGCAAGCCCTCTTGCTCAACCAAAGACCCCCAACAGTTAAACCCAGAAATAGACAAGACTGCTTAACTCATGCTCCAAAGAAAACCCATTATGCCTATTTCTCACTGCACTTTCTGGAGACATTGACAAGACGTTATGCAATGACTGGACTCTTCCAATTGGACCAGAAAAGCCCTGATAGCAATGGAATGCCTCAAAGACCACACCTAACGTGTCCCCTTCTCTGCCCGTGATTGTGAGCTGAGCACATACCAACCCCCAGCTCATGATCACGTGCCCCCTGCCTGCTCTCGTGCACGTACCCCACGGAGCTCATCTCTGTAAAACTCTAGTGTCCATCCTGCAGGTGGAGAGGTCGGTTGTTTAGGCTCAAGCCTGCAACTCTCCTTGGCTACTGGCACTCAAAATACATGTCTCCCTTTTTTCTTCCAAACCCTTGTCTCTTGAGTGATTGGCTTCTCTTGCCATGAGTTTATCTGCATTTGTTCAGCAACAGTGTTGGCAAACCCAGCCAGGAGCTATGCTTTCGGTTTGTGCAGCCCTCCTGGGATTCCCCCAGATGGATCAGTGGGCCCCGGCAGCCCGCCAGAGCTTTCCTGCTCCGTTCCTGAGTTAGCAGCTGGAATAGATCACTGGGCGACATAGCCACAGAGATGGCAGTTTTATGGGTGATTCAGGTATTCGCTTGGCCATGTTGTGAGTTCCCTGCCAGCCAGATCCTTGACCATCTTATTCCCTTTCTTCCCTCATCTCCCAAAGGTGGAAGATTTCATGCTAAAACAGTTCTATCTTAGGTATAACAAGGAAAGAATGTAAGTTATAGTAGAAGGAGGGCTAGAAACTGAAACTTTAGTTCTAAAACACTCGTCATCTTCTTCCCCCCAGAAAGGATAACGATCATCATTTTTAAAAAATGTTTATGTATGTACATATGTATGTATTTAGTTTGAGAGAGAAAGAGCATGAGCAGGGAAGAGAGAGAGAGAGAACCCCAAGGGCTCCACATGGTCAGTGCAGAGCCTGACTTGGGGCTTGAACTCACAAACCAGGAAATCATGATGTGAGTTGAAATTAAGAGTCCGAGGCTTAACCAGTTGAGCCATGCAGGTGCCCCACCATTAACATTTTTAAAAGAGGACCCATAACAAATTAATGATACCAGTCAATCCTTTCCTTTGTGGTATAAACCATTTGGAAGTACAATGCATTCTATTAGTGATATTTGCTGCTATTATAATTACTATACTTTCATCAAACTTAAAAACTTTTGTGCATGAAAGAACATAATAAACAGAGTACGAGACAGCATACCGAATGGGAGAAAATATTTGCAAATCATATATCTGACAAGAGATCAATAGCTAGACTAATAAAGAGTATCTACACCTCCATAAAAAATATCAAATAAACCCATTAGAAAATGGGCAAAGGACTTCAATAGATACTTCCCTAAAGAAGATATACAAATAGCCAATAAGCATATGAAAAAATGTTCAACATCACGATTCATTAGACAAATGCAAATCAAAGCCATAATGAATATCACCTTAAACCCATTAAGATAGTTAACTATCAACTAAAAACAAACAAAAACACAGAAAACAACGAGTGTTGGCGAGGATGTGAAGAAAATGGAACACTTTCTGTCTGCAACAGTGCACAAGGGAGCATAAAATGGTGGGAAATAGTATGGAGGTTCCTCAAAAGATTAAAAATAAAACTATCATATGGCTCTGCATTCCCATATGTGGATACATATCCAAAGGAATTTAAAGTAGAATCTCAAAGAGATATCTGCATACTCATGTTCACTACAGGACTATTCACAAAAACAAAGAAGTGGAAACAAAATAAATGTCCATCAACAAATGAAAGGATAAACCAAATGTGATCCACATATACAATGGAATATTATTCAGCCTTAAAAAGTGGAGGAAATCCTTTCATAAGCTACAACATGAATGAAACTTGATGATATTGTTAAGTGAAATAAGCCCGTCACAAAGTTAAATACTGTATGATTTCACTTCAGATGAGCTACATAAAGTAGTCAAATTCGTAGGAACAGAAAGTATAATGGTAGTTCCTAGAGGCTGGAATAAGGGGGACAAGGGAAGTTTTTGTTTAATGGTGTGATGATGAATTTTACGTATCAACTTGACTGGGCCACTGGTGCCCAGATATTTAGTCAAATATAATTTTGGGTATGTCTGTGAGAGTGTTTGGGAATAAGATTAACGTTTGAATAAGCCGACTGAGTAAAGCAGATAGCTCTCCCCAGTGTGGGTGGGCCTCATCCAATCAGTTGAAGGCCTGAATAGAACAAAAAGGCTGACCCTTCTTGAATAAGAGGGACTCCTCCTCTATGACTCCTTTGAGCTAGGATATCAATTCTGTTAGCAAATTGAAAAATAGTATTCTGGAGGTCATACATGTGGTAGGCATTGCTGCAAAGTTGGTTGTTGTCTCGAATCTCCCAGCTTACCTTGGAGTAAATTGATTTCTCTGCTATTTCCTTCACTGAATATCCCCATACTCTGTGCCTTCCGTCCATCCAGAGCTTTTTCTATGAGATAAAGCAGGCTCTCCAAGGTTAAGCCACAGTGTTCATACACCAGAGAAATGATACCTGCCTTAATGCTGTCCACTACTATCTAGAAAATGAAAACAGAGCCCATTATTTTAGCATATTTATTAATAAAGACAATGGGTATGTAATACGCTCTGATTTTTAAAGACTTGTTGTCAGAAACTGTGGAAGGAGGAAGATAAGCTTTCTCCTTTGTTGGTTTCTTTTTAAATTTTTTTTTTCAACGTTTTTTTATTTATTTTTGGGACAGAGAGAGACAGAGCATGAACGGGGGAGGGGCAGAGAGAGAGGGAGACACAGAATTGGAAACAGGCTCCAGGCTCCGAGCCATCAGCCCAGAGCCCGACGCGGGGCTCGAACTCACGGACCGCGAGATCGTGACCTGGCTGAAGTCGGATGCTTAACCGACTGCGCCACCCAGGCGCCCCGTGTTGGTTTCTTTTTAAATAATTTCATTTCTTTTCTAATTATAAGAGGAGAAAATTAAGTATACCTACAATTCCATCCCTCAGGGGTAAATACTATTAACAAGTTAGATTACTTTCTTCCAGTCTTTTTATTTTTGTACCTACCCGTGCAAAGACATGTGCAACTTTTAAACATAATAAAATTCAGATCATATGATTTCGCAATGGACTTTTAAAATAGATTTAAAGTTTTCCTCTTAATTATGAAGTTTTGAATTATCGATAGTGACTGATTGAATATATCCCATTTAAATAAATATTAAAACCACTGTGCTTTGAATTCAACAACCAAATAAAGTTTTCATTGTGATAAAGTTAATTCATTAGCAGCAGACATGTTGGAAAGTCATTCAAGTCCACGATTTTTTTTTTTTTGCCTGCAAACCTCATGCCACTTTCTGAAGGTCACACAGTTCCACCCAACAAAGAACTACCACACGGTTATGACCTACTTTTTGCTTAAACACCCATCACATGTATAATAAAATAAGTAATTATGGCGTAGATTTATGTAAAGAAGACAAATAGGAGGATAGACCTACTTTTTTTTTTACATTTTAGTCACCATGCAGTACAATATTGGTTTCAGGAGTAGATTTCCGGGATTCATCACTTACACATGACACACTGTGCTCCTCACAGGTGCTCTGCTTCATACCCATCACCCATCTAGCCCACCCACCACCCACTTTTAACCGGTTTTTGTTGTTCGTTTGTTTGTTTTACCCAGATTCTATCACCAGTTATCCTTTGTGCCCAGCTTGATGCCCCTTATTAAACATCAGGGAAACTGTCTGGGGCCCACCTGGAGATCAAAGCTCTGATCTTGCTTTCATGTGTATCCACTAAGTCGGCCAGTTGTGAATGATCAGAGTCAATTTCTTTCAGTGCCCAGAAAGAATACTGACTTCGTATCTTGAAAGCAACCATTTTGTTACAAATACAATTTTTTGAAAACACTTTCTAAGTAGGCCAATGAATATAACCTGCCCCGTGTCATCCCTTCAATATGTCCCTGTGTATCAATGCATACATATATACAAATACACACACTCACGTATCTCTAAAAATACGTGCTTCCTATGTCTTCTTTGTGCTTCCTTTATTGTTCTTATTACTCATATTAAAATTAAAATATATAACTTCATTATAGAAAGGACTTTTTTTATGTCTATTTTTGAGAGAGAGAGAGAGAGAGAGAGACCGAGAGAGAAAGTGGGGGAGGGGCGGAGGGGGGAACAGAGGATTCGAAGCAGGCGCTGCGCTGACAGCAGCGAGGCTGATTTTGGGCTCGAACTCACGAACCGTGAGATCATGACCTGAGTTGAAGTAGGACGCTCAACCGGCTGAGCCCCCCACGTGTCCCAGAGAAAGAACATATTTTAATTTAATGGCACCTCATTAAATAGGTCACAAACTAGGATTCCTGACATTCTTCTTTTGAGAAACGGTGGTGACATGATAGTATTTAATTCCTTGGGCATTCCAAAGAGGTTTTAAAATAATCCTTAATCACCTTGCTCTTTTTTGGGCTGAGTGCAACAAATTCAATTCAGTAAGAATTCACCGGACACTTAACTACTTGCAAGGTGGTTTGGCCTTTCATGCTTTCTTAAAAGTAATTTTGATTTATGGGTATCTTTATCGCTTCTGATTTTTAAAAGTATTTTGGGTCTGTAAATTTCCACTTACACTGTTTTGCTTTCAGAAGATGAATCCTTTTCATACACATGGGGGCCAAAAGATTGCCATACGTCCTCTAGTGGGGATGAAAAAGGAAAAAAAAAAAAAAAACAACCCAATTCAAAAAAGGGCAGGCCTCCTAACACACTCTGTACCTCATATGCAGGAATCCGAGATGATATTAATATGATGTGGAGCTGGGAAGCATATGAACTGCTGTCATCATTTTTATGAACACCATGCCAAGTTTTCTTTGATAACAAAGGATAGGAATGGCTTCCAGAAACATTGCTTCTACAGGGAAAAGAGGGGAAGAAGTGAAATTTTAATTTTCTATTCATTTGATTTTGATGCTGGAGCACCGACATGTTGTCTGGGCATTACTCATACTGAACAAGGCATGTGGCCGTAGGACCTCAGTCTCTCCCTGCGGTTTTTGGGGACAGCAGCAAATGGGGTTCTTGAGTGGGGAGGGGCTGGAGCTGGCCTTTGGGCCTCTCCTCCTGCATTTGAAGGACACTGGAAAGGTCTTCTGGAACTTATTTAGCGTTTATCGGGCACTCAGAATGAATATAGTGACATACTTAGGGGTTCAAAATGACGTCTTAAAGAGGAACAGCTGAGAAATTTAAAATTTCCTAAATCATCTGGTCCCCACAGCTTTCTGAGTAATGACTCTATTCTCTTACCCTTACCCCGACAGTCCCATTTGGATATGCTTATTCAATAAAAAAACATTTCTGAAAAAAATGTTACTTTTGCTCAATAGCTTTGCACAGAACGTGTCCTACAGTCCAGCCTCTTTGTAGGGTCAAGAATATTTGAAATATAAAATTTATTTTGAAAGTTACAGATTTCCCTCTTCAGAGAACATGTTAAAGACCACTGGTCTTGAGGACTAAAGAGTTATTTCTGTTGCTGTTTCGTAGGATAGGAGCCAGATAATTATACAAGCTCCCTGCGTGTTAGCTAAATTATTCTAGAATGAATTCTTGGTATCATGGGATGGTCTTGAGCTTTCAGGAGACGGAGGTTTGCTTACCGCTTGGGCAAAGCTTCTAAGGATGCCAAAACAAGCTGTTTCTCCAAAGCTTCATGTAATCCCACTCGATCCCTCACAGTCTGGGACAGACGTGGCTGGCATTTGGATTTTAACAATCTAGAGCAGCACGTTCCGCTCGCCCAAGGGGGTCGAACTTTAAATAACTCCTCTGAAAAACAAATAGCACCGGCTCAGTTGTTTACTTCAGTTCTTACTTGCTTCTCTCAGCCAAGTCTACCTAGATAAAGGCATCAAAAATCAAGCCGTACCAGGGCACTGCTCCAAATGGCAATACCTGTAGCCCTTTCTACAGACTCTGTTTGGATTTCTTATCGTCTCAGCACTGTGGCTGTGAGTTACCAGTCATGTCAGGTCAAAAGACAAAGCTCAGAGAACCAGCACCCCTTTTCTTGTGAAAACCAGTTAATCAATGTATAGGCATCACGTCCATTTCTGCATTTCTTCTTGGCTTCAAGTAACTTCCCATTTGTTAGGATCTCACCGGGTGTGAGTCAGTGAAAAAAAAAAAAAAAAAAGATGGCAGAACTCAAATCACTTTTGTCGATGACTATTGTGCACTGTGCAAATCAGAGGGCTTAGCTGAGAGTGGGTCTTATCCCTCCTCCCTTTCCACTTTGCTTTTTTTAATGCCATTCTTCCTGCTTCTGCCTATTTTCATTCCTCCCTCTCTGTCACCAGTCCCAATTCTGCCTGCGTTATTCTTCTCTCTCCCTGTTTTTGGTCTCCTAAACTCCTAAACCCGAGAGTAACCAGAATAATAATGGAGGCACTGATATTTGACTTTCTGTATTTCATCTGAAATCTTTTTTTTCTTATTCATGGACTGGAAATATACGGGGGGTGGGGGGGGGGCGGGGAAGAACTTGTCCTGAACATACTTTAGAGAAAGCCACCCACATGCTATTCCAGAAAGACCTAACTATCCTCCTCTGTGGGAATTTGTGTGTAAATCCATTCGTTTCTACAATAGTTGGATAAGATAGAGTTTTCAAATGCTGCTCACTTTTACGTAGCGCAATTTTCTCCCAAATTATTTTTCGTAGGCGCTTTTCTCTTTGTCTCTCCTGTAGCTCCTCATCTTCTCTTCTGGGTTCATTCAAGGTCCCATACATAGCAGTAGCTTCCCTAGGGATTGGCCAATCTAAGTTGGACACACAAGCAATGTAATGATGCTTCCAAGCACCATACTCATTATCTGTTGGAGTATAGGGCAGAAACCACCCAAACCTAATGCATTTGGGCATCCATAAGCAGTCCTACAGAAAAAGAAATGAGAAAGAGAGTTTGCTGGAAATTTTTAAGGACAGTTTCCTAGTAATAATGTTTCAGGTACACATAACTTCTTTACATTGAGATTTCTGGTGCCGCTGACTTGTCATCTGAATTTGACTCTAACAAACAAGAACCATCCCTGACTCCGTAGAAAAGTAGTCTTTGATGACAATATACGTTACATATGAATATATGTATTAGTCATCTTTGTACACTTGCTCCCATAGCATTTGATTTACCCTAGATTCTGAGGATTTTGAGCAATAGTATATTAGTTTGTTTCAGACCAAACCTTCCACTGGGAACACCTTTGGTTGAACCACATGATCTTGCCAGTATGCAACCAGCTTTGATATATGGGAACAGCAAATTTCACGTGATCTAATTGAGTCAAGTATCTAGACAGAATATTATAAAACAATTCTTTGAAGGCGTATAGAGCTACGAATGCAACGTCTCATGTAACCATGACCCCAGAGAGAAGGGAAACCCAGAGAGGTGACCCCAACATTTGGCATTACTTTTCATTTCAAGGCATCTGGCAGTTCCAAAGGAAAGCTCAGGCTGAGAAGCAAAGCAGAAAGTTATGGCTGAACGACAGGGAAGCTGAAAAGAATTTTAGGTATTCTCACGAGGAGGAGAGGAAACAAAATTAAATTCAGGGCTCACTAAGGGCAAGAGCCTTGGTGATCACGCCAGGCTTTCAGCTGAGATCCTTATCAGCAAGGATAAGGAATTAGACAACTATCACAAAGACTGAAGCCAGCTTTGAAAAATCTCTTTCTCTGACTGGATTTAAGTCATCTATTCCTAGCCTAACCAAATGCCAGAAACAAAAGCAAATTCTCTCTGGAAGAAGATAACCTCATCCAGAGACTCAAATTATTGACTGCAAAAATATCTTATAACCAATATCTGATACTCCATCAAAAGTACCAAGCACACCAAAGGACAAGAATTGTTTGTTTCTCCTTTTGTCTTTCATGATCTGTTATTAAGTAGAGTAAGACCCTCAGGAGAGCCATGCATTGTAATTGTTAGGCACGAACTTAAAAAATAAACAACCCTATAATTAATATGTCTGGGAAATTAAATAGCTAGGTGAGAAATTTTGGTAAAATAATCAGATCAGCATTCTAGAACTGAAAAACATAATAGCAGAAATTTAAAACTCAATGGACCAGTTTAAAAGCAAATTAGAATCCAGCAAGAGAGAGAATTAGTAAACTAAAAAGCCAGAAGAAAGATGCAGGCTGAAACACTGACAGCCAAGAAAGGTGGAAAAGACACATAGAGAACATGAAGCTTGCAGGGCGGGTGAGTCAGTCTAACACATAAGTACTGGAACCGCAGAGGAAAAGGAGAGAAAATGGGGCAGAATATGAAGGGATCGTCTCCGACAGCTTTTCGAAACTGAGAAAAGACACTAAATCTCAGATGCAAAAAAAAAAAAAAAAAATTACTGTAAATCACAAAATAGGAGAAACACACATACACACGCACATTTCTGGGTACCTCCTAAAAAAATTGCATAAGACAGAAGACAAGATGGAGGAAAAAATCATAAAAGCAGCTAAGGAAATAAGGAGCAACAATAAGGGAGCAACAATAAAACTTCCCGCTTCTTCCAAAAAAAATGTGTGTGCGTATGTGTGTAGAAAATTAAAATATTTGACAGTAACATAGAAACTGGGAGGAGGGGAGCAGATGCAGGGTCCGAAGCTTCTGGCTTTATCTCAGAAGTGGTAAAAAAAATAATAATAAAAACAAAAAAACCCACCCTAGAACGAGTGCTGTAATCTCTAATACAACCAGGAGAAAACAGCTAAAGAATTTAAAATTAACAATCTAAAAAATATGGAAGTACTCCAAAAGAAAAAAGAGAAACAAGATATAAAACACAAGGAACAAACAAAAAGTAAATAGTGAAACGGTGGACTTAAGCTTACATATATCAGTATGTACACAAATGTAAACAGAAGAATGACCCCAGCTAAAAGCCAGGGACTGTCAAATGTTAAAAAAACAACTCCCCACAACCACATTCTGTTTCCGAGACATATTCCTTAAATATGAGGACACAGAAAAGTAAAAAGTCAGAAAACAATACATATGCCAACACCTCGCCTGGGTTCTTAAATGCTGTAAACCCAGGACTCAACAGTTGGTTTTGCATGTGGCCTCTCCATGGAAAGCTAGGTATTTTCTGAGATCAGAAGCTCAACACTAGCCCACTCTGGGAAGTTTGTACACGTTAAAGAAGTAAGTTATTGACTTGTATTCAAGTATGTCTGCCATTACATTTCATTAAATCTTTTAAGAAGAAAATGAGACAAGCCAGAGGCAGAGTTAATGGCAGAGGATGTTGGAAATCCAGATTTACATTCTTTAACAGATGTGAGCCAAAGAGGGACCAGATGAGGTTGTGGTTGTACAGCAATTTTCGAGGTGAATGATCATGGATAAAATCATACCATATAATAACCAAAGCTTAACTACAATTTCTCAGGAAAGAAGTGGACTTCTTTAGCCACGGTAAAATGTTTTCTAAATAATTAAATTGAGTATTTGAAGATTCTTAAAATTACACGAATTATTAGAATAGTGTATATCCGCTCACTTACAAAATAAATTATCATATTTAACTTCTCCCCATGTTTGCTCTGAAGGGTAAGTTAATTATGGTTCAAATACTCTCCATTACTGTCTTCAGGGAAGGAAGCTACCCCAGTTGTCTCCTTACAGAACACAGCTGTTATTTGTGCCCTATCGGTAGGAAGTGACAAGTAGTCAACCTGTTCAGTTAAAAACTTCCAGGCCCAGCTGACTTGTGCAGCTGCACACAAATCTTTTGGATTCAGAAAGGAAAAGATATATAGAGAAATGAAGCGCGGTAACACCGTAGAGAAATCCACTTTGGCCATTTGCATCCTTTCCGAAAACCACTCTTGGACAATCCTACAAAGAAAGACACAGAAATTTAGTTCAGAACGCTAGTATCTAAAACCGACCAAAAATCTAGGATACATATTGGTCATTGTTCTTTCTATAATGTTCTAACTATAAAAAAAAAAACAAAACAAAACTTAAATCCTAGGTAACACACAGCTAGATTTTTAAAAATACTGTATCTACTTTCACTGATCCATTCTAAAGGTGAGTAATAAAAATACCTAAAATCTACAGGAAAAAGGTCTGAAATAAACATAGTTATTTAAGTTATAAATCTGGATTTTCTGCCTTTTCCTTTACTCCAAATTCAATAAATCAGCAAGTCCTGTCAGCCCTACAAATATGTACCCTCATATCCAACCACTTTCTCTCCACCTCCACTGCTATCACCACTGCAAAGCTCCTCCTTCTCCCTCTTGCACAACTGCAATAACCCCTTCTGATAGGCTCCCCCATTCCACTCCTCTTCCGAGAGCCCATTCTCTACATGGCAGTGGAGGTTTTTTTTTTTTTTTCTAATTTTTTTTTTTTTTCATTAAGTAACCTCTATGCCCAACGTGGGGCTCAAACTCACAAACCTAAGATCAAGAGTCACATGTTCCAGAGACTGAGCCAGCCAGGCGCCCCCTCAAGTGTTTTTGGTTTTTTTAATGTAAATTAGATAATGTCACTCATGCAAGTAAAACCCTACAATGACTTCCCGGTGTTATCAGAATAAAACCCTGTAGCTACATCACACTTAGTGGTGAAATATTAATGCCTCCCCCCTAACATAAGAACAAACCAAGAATGTTCACTCTCATTCCTTCAATTTAACAGGCGCCGGAGATCCTAGCCATTTCAACAAGACAGGAAAAAAAGTAACTAGTATACATATTGGAAAGGAAGCAGTAAAACTGTCTCAATTCATGTATGTGGAATCTACAAAACCACTTAAAAACAAGGAATCTGCAAAACAACCATTTAAATTGTCGAACTAATTAGTATAAAATGGTTGATGATTTTCTTTTATCTTTTTTTTTTAAGTTAATTTCATTGTTTTGAGAGGGACAGAGACACCACAAGTGGGGGAGGGGCAGAGAGAGGGAGACAGAGAATCCCAAGCAGGCTCTGCGCAGTCAGTGAAGGAAATTGTGAGATCGTGACCCGACCCAAAACCAAGAGTCAGATGCTTAACTGAGCCACCCGGGAGCCTCTGATTCTCTTTTATCTTTTTAATGTTTATAGGATCTATAGCAACATTCCCTTTTTCATTCCTGATATTGGCAATTTTCTCTTCTTTTTTCTTGGTTATTCTTGCCAGGAGTTTATCAATTCAATTACTTTTTTTTTTTTTAACAGCTTTTGTTTTCATAAATTTTCTCTCTTCATTTTCTATTTTATTGATGTCAGCTCTTCATCATTTCTTTACTTCTACTTACTTTGGGTGTAATTTGAGTTTCTTTCTAGTTTCTTAAGGTGGAAATTTAGATAGTTAATTTGAATCCTTTTTTTTCTTTTCTGAGGTAGGAATTTAAATGATATATTTTCCTCTAAGCTGTACTTCAGCTGCATCTCAGCCATTTAGATGTGTTGTATTTTCATTGTCACTCAATTTGAAATATTCTAATTTCCCTTGTGTTTTCTTTTTTGACCACATGTTTTTTATAAGTGAGTTAACTTCCAAATAGTTTTGGATTTTCTAGATAAATATTTTTGGATTTTCTAGGTATTTTATATTTTTTAATCTCAAATTTTATTGCATTGTTGTTAAAACTTATACTTAATTAGATTTTAACGATTCTGAAATGTATTGAGTCTTATTTTTTGGACCAGGAAATTATGTATCTTGGTGAAAGTTATTTTGCTCATAAAAAAACTCATCTATTGGGAAGTTGTTGGCTTTAATTTCCTATAAATATTAGGTCAAGGTGGTTTAGAAGATTGCTCAGTTCTATATTCTCACTGATTTTTTTTGTTTAGTTGTTCTATTATAATTTACTCAGTTTTGTTTTATGTAATTTGAAACTCTATTATTTGGTACATACATATTTATTATTTTATGACTTCATGATGAAGGGATCCTTTTCTCCTTATATAATGTCCCTCTCTGTCTTTCTAGTAACATTCCTCATCTTGAAGTCCATTTTGTCTGATATTAATATTGCCATCCTACTTTTATATACTTAGCATTTATATCCTATCCTTTTACTTTTAACCAATCAGAATCTTTATATTTACAGTGTATCCTTTGTGGTCAGTATACAGTTAGATCTTGTTTTGTTTTTTCTTTTTAAAGCTCATTTATTTTTTATTTTTTATTTAAAAAAAAATTTTTTTTTTTCAATGTTTATTTTTGGGACAGAGAGAGACAGAGCATGAACGGGGGAGGGGCAGAGAGAGAGGGAGACACAGAATCGGAAACAGGCTCCAGGCTCCGAGCCATCAGCCCAGAGCCTGACGCGGGGCTCGAACTCACGGACCGCGAGATCGTGACCTGGCTGAAGTCGGACGCTTAACCGACTGCGCCACCCAGGCGCCCCTTTTTAAAGCTCATTTAACCACCACTGCCTTTTATTTGAAGGTTTAGTCCACTTATATTTAATATAATTATTGATATGGTTGAATCCAGGTCTTAATTTTATTTGTTTTTTGCTTTTCCCATTTGTTTTATGAAAATTTATTCCTCCTCTCCTGTCTTGGTTTGAGGTAATAAATTTTTTTGTATTCCATTTCAATTCCTTTATTGACTTTTTAGGATATCTCTTGCATTATGCAATTGAGTTGTTGTTAGCAAGTACAATACGCATCGTTGACATTTCATAGTCTATTTAGAGTGAATATTCATATAAAATTAAAGAACAGTGCAATGGTATAGTTCTTGACATCCTTAAGCTTTGGTCATGATACCACATCTACTTATGTTATAAGCCCCATAATACATTGGTTTCGCTTTAAACAGTCATATGTCTGTAAAATAACTTTAAAATTTTACATTTTCCCACACAATACCATTTTCCTGCTTGTACATCCAAGCTTCCATCTGTTATCAATTTCCTTAGCCTGAAGAATTTGTTTCAGCCTTTCTTCACTGGAGGTCTTCTGACAACAAATTTTATCACTCTCTTTTTATATGAAAATGTCTTATTTCACCCTAATGTTTGTAGTACTATTATGACCTGCATTAATCAATTTTAATAATTATCATCTTGTAGCCAGTCTGGTTTCTGCTATATCATCATCTTTCCTTCCTCCTCCTCTGCCTCCTCCTCTTCTTTCTTTTCCTCCTCTCTCCCTCCTCTTCCTGTTTCTTCCTCCCTCACTCCCATTTTATTTTATTTATTTATTTATTTTTTCAACGTTTATTTATTTTTGGGGGGACAGAGAGAGACAGAGCATGAACGGAGGAGGGGGAGAGAGAGAGAGGGAGACACAGAATCGGAAACAGGCTCCAGGCTCCGAGCCATCAGCCCAGAGCCCGACGCGGGGCTCGAACTCACGGACCGCGAGATCGTGACCTGGCTGAAGTCGGACGCTTAACCGACTGCGCCACCCAGGCGCCCCTACTCCCATTTTATTTTAAAGCCAGCCTAAAACATTGGGTCACTGCACTCATCTCACCCACATAGATGTGTTATATTGTCATCATCATTCCATTTGAAATATTCTCATTTCTCTTGTGATTTCTTCTTTGATATTTCTGTGTGCCTTACTAAACAATAGGAGCATTTTTAAAAAACATATACTATAATACCATCATCATGCCTAAACAAATTCAATAAGAATTTTTTTTTTTAACATTTATTTTTGAGAGAGAGAGATGGACCACAAGCAGGAGAGGAGCAGAGAAGGAGCGAGACATAGATTCCAAAGCAGGCTCCAGACTCTGAGCTGTCAGCACAGAACCCAATGTGGGGTTCGAACCCATGAAACGTGAGATCATGACCTGAGCCGAGGTTGGATGCTTAACTGACTGAGTCACCTAGGTGCCCCTCAACAATAATTTCTTAATGTGATACCTATTTTTAAAAAGTTTATAAAAATATAGCATACATCAAGAACACTTCTTACATTACTCTGTGTGCCACCTAAGCACAAATGGATCTTGAATGAACAAAAAATCTGGGGGCTATGTAGGCCTTAGACCAAAGAGATGTTTTATGGTTCATGAAAGATGCATTGCTGGCCCTGTAGCCACCAATTATAAAAAAAAAAAAAAAAAAAAAAAAAAAAAAAAAAAAAAGATACTTAATTCCTAATTGCCCTCTCTGGATATTGGCCATAAACATCTGTTATAATCCCAAGCCACCAAATAGGTCATCATATGTGAATAAGAATCACTAGAACAAGAAAGTTTGGAAGCAATCCAAGGATTAGCAAATGGAAGTCTTCCCTGGAACCCCTAATCTCCTCCAATCTCAGTGAAATTACAGATGTTTGTGACCAATCTCATAGCTGATTGGAAAATTTGGCAATGGAACTCACCAGAACTCTTTTATCTCAAGCCATGGGGACCATGGAACTATTTTTCACTGCTAAGTGGCTACTGCTACCCTGTTACCAGGTCCTATTGGACACAGATTAACTCACTGGAAGACAAATCCTGTCTCTGAATGGATCTCATTCTGCAATGTGTCTTCTCTGACTTTCTGTGACCTTCTCTGAATGCATAGGCTAAATTCCCACAGGGTGGGTCAAGCCCCAGAAAGTTCCAATGTGAAATGAAAACACTATCTCCAATTAGGGACGAGAAAAGAACTTAGTTATCTTCATAAACAAGTTGCTGAAGACCCATGAGACCCAGAGACTGTCTTTATCATTAATTTACCCAAACTGCTTGCCTAACTGGAGCCTCATCTATAATCTTGGGAGAAGGGAAACTTGTATCTTGCAACTGAACACCAATAAATAATACATGTAGAAGGAATTAAGAAGTTAGAAAATGAGCACTTGGCAGCTATCACAGCAATAATTACATCAGATAAGAATCATCAATGGATTCTAAAACCAGTGGGTGAAAGTATGGT